GGATAAAGTGAGGTAATATATGTGAAGTGCTTTGCAAACTAAAGCAGTATATAAATTTTAAGTTAATAACATAAGATAAAGAATAAATCCTTACTTGGCATATTTTTTATTGTATATTGACAGTGACCTGATAGTCATAACATTGTTTGTGATGGGTGGTTCCAGCCTGGATTTCCACAAGAGTTTAGTGACCCTTTATATAGTTGGCAGATTTAAAACTTCTGGCCCAGACTCTCAAATGTTTCAAAACAGCCATCTTTGTAAGGGGATTTTGCTATCTTGAAAACATAAGATAATGTTGGAAATTGAGAATTCATTGCTGAAAGGTAGAATCTTTTTAGGATACAGGCCTTTTCTGTGGATTGAGAAAAATCTGATTGACCTTATAGATGGAAAGAAATTAGTATGCAGAAGTATCGTGAAAACTCCAGAATCTCTGTAAGTGTCAGAAAACCTTTTTAAATTGAAATACTGAGGTTGTGAGACAGGATTGTGACATAGGGGGTCACTTAAAACAACAAACTGATGAGGTTCTTTAAATCTTTCATAAGTAAAAAGAAAAGCATTTCCACTTTTGAAACACTAAATGACAGGAAATCTTGTACACTGGCCCTACGTGAAATCTGAAGGGATCGAAACGTAATTCAGTTTGAAGCTTCAAGAAAGTAAAATACTCACAAAGCTTACCCTAAGAAGCAGTTGTACGCTCTACTCTCTACTACTGTCTTTAAACTTCTCTGTTTTTCTTCTACATTACTTGATTATTAAACAATTAATGTTAAAAAAAAAAAAGAATAAGCCCTTAACATCTGACAGGATGGAAACAAATGGCATATTCTAAACTCATAATGATAGTTCATAGTGCTTGTTAACTCGATAAATACCTGGTGATTTTCTTTACTCCTATTTTTAGTTCAGTTGTTTAATTTTTTAAACAAAAAAATCAATACCGTACCAAACTACTGATAGGATGAGTCACTTCCCAACCAATAACCTACCTTATAATTCCTTCCAACAAAACAATCGATATTTTTTTTATTAAAAAAATGAAACTTTTATTGTTGAACACTACAGTTATTTTCCTCTCATCCAACCCTTCTTTGTAACAGAGAAAAAGACAAGCAAAATAAGCTACACAGTGACTAACAGTACCTGATGAGATATCTATACCGGTCAGTATTGTTAGTTTGTACTGGGTCAGAACAAAATGCACTAATAATTCTTAAATTAAAAAAAAATAGTTTTTAAGGCCAATCAAATATTCATTGACTCAATCAGTGATCACTAGGAAACAGTATAGGTTCATTCAGATTAAGTTATACTGGCTTAGCCACACTTCAAGAGAAGACAGGTGAATTTCCCCTTTGGTGTTTCTTAGCACTCTGATTCCCAGGACTTGGCTAGTCCAGGTAGTGAGAGCTCATAAGAGGGAGTGTAGTGAAGTAGGTCAGGGTGACCCAAGTGAGTGTACATCTTGGCTTATGTTGGCCTTGGACAAATGTACCTTTTCTGACCCTCAGCATGCTCATCTGTACAATGGAGGGAAGGCACTAGACGGCCTCTACGGTCCCTTGTAGCTATGAGGTTTTCATTTACATTGTTGTAGGTATTGTGTATATTATCCTGGTTCTGCTTTCTTTGCTCTGCCTCAGTTGATACTTCCCACATTTCTTATAATTCCTCATAGTCACTATTTCTAATTGTGATATTGCTTTGTATTCCTATGCCAGTTCAGTAATGGGCATTCACTCTGTTTCTAGTTCTTTGCTAACACAGAAAGTTTTTCAAAAATGGCTGCTCTGAATATTTTGATGTTGGTACTTTCTGTATGGTCTCCTTGAGACAGATTGGTTTTCAGTGGCTGTTACTCGTTCTCCAAATCTGGACAAGATTAATAGGCCTAGTCATGGCCAGGCATAACCAAACAGAGGCGATTCCCTAATGTAGTCCGTCTGATCCGTGGTAAATATGATCAAGTCCTATTTCTTTGGGGATTTCTAGTGGCCTCTATAAACCAGAGCATCTTCTTGAAGTGTAAATAGTTCCAATTATGAGAGTAATCATCAGAAAGATCCCAGATCCAATCACAAAGACTACCATGAGGCAATCTCCAGTCATTCCTTGTTCTGCATTCCCACTGAAGCACGTCAACAAGCTCGTGTTGGACCTTTGCCTGAAGTTGAGCATTGCGTATCTTCCCGATGATTTCTACCAGTCCAGATTCTCTGGGTAACATGCTTGCAAAGGGAAAAGAGCTGGAGTCATCACGGCTTCCTATTTCTGGTGGTTGTTTGCAGGCAGAATAGCTGCCGAAGGAAGACGCTTTTCAACTCCTGAACCAGAAACTGACGAGGAACCAGCAGAGTCACACTCACCTAACCTAGTGGAAGGAACAGAAGCCAGCTGACCCACCCCTCCCTGCTCCCCACTGGCCGAAGGGTGTTGCTGGTGGGCAGGACAGGGCTGGCGGTGGGGAGAAAGAGGTGGAAAGAGAGAGAGAGAGAGAGAGAGAGGGAGCGGGCAGAGAGAAAAGAAGGAGGGAGAGGGAGAAGGAAGCTGGACCATTATCTGGAAGCCACAGATGGAACAGCTTAGCCATCTCTTAAAAAGCCCTCATAACACTGTAAAGGAAAAACAATCGGTCAAAAAGCATTAAGTGTTTATGTGTCTGACATTCTGAGAAGCATTGAGGATGCAAAGACAAGGAGGAAACAGTCCTCAAGGAGCTTACATTTAACGACAGAGATGTATCCAGATACAAATATATTCAGAAATAACACACAATGAATACCAAGTCATTTTGGGAAGGGCCTGGAAAGGGCTTCGTGAAGAACGTGGTATTTGGGCTGAGTCCTGAAGGAAACCAGAGATTCCAAGACGCCGAGGTAAAGCATTAAAACAGCCAGGTGGGATTGGAGCAGGGCCTAGGTCTGACTGGTTGGAATTTGCTGGATAGGGGCGTGATGGGATGAGGCTGTGGTGGCAGCTGGGTGGAAAGAAGAGAGTCTGGAGGTAGGGAGACATCTCTAGTAGTCCAGGAGGGAGGTGATGAAGGTCTGAATCAGGACTGTGGCTGGTGGGGAGAGAGGAGGGGAATCTGCCTGAGGGTTTGTGCAGATAGAAGCCCTGAGAGATGATTGGGTCACCAAGGGTAAGAGTAATAATAGAAAAGGTAAGCAAGCCAGAGCTTTGAGATACCACAGTAATGGGAGTTACATGGATGAGGAATCAGAAACAAAAGCTCGGAAGACACAGGCAGATGGAAAAAAGATGCAGAGAGGAGGAGGAGGAGGAGGTCAGCAGTGTCAAATGCAGTGGAGGGGTGAAGAAAGCAAAGATGACCGTTGGTGGCTTCAGTTTAGTGAGGTTGAAGACAGCTTGCACCGACTTAAAAGAGGAAAGGAAGTTGAGGCACCTGTTTTATGCTGCTTATTTTTCCATCCGTATTTATTTTCTCTTCCTCTCACCTCTTCTACACCCCCCACCCCAAAACCCAACCCAACCCTGATGAGCAGGAGAAGCAAAACAAATCCCGGAGTTGGCCAAGTCCACACCTAGTGTTTCTGCCTGTCAGTCCATCCATCCGCTTTTCCCCCTAGAAGGGAGGTAGAATTCCTAATCATTGGTTCTCTGGAATGTTTGTAAGAGCTCTCAAGCGTTTCTAACTCGTTCATTTTAGACGGCTTTTTCAAGGAGTTTGGATGAGCAAGGGAGGAGAGAGAAGGGAAAGGGGGAGAGCGCTGGGGGCTGGGGAGGAGTTCTTGTTGGGGTGGGAGCCCCCGGGCATGTTTGTAGACATAAGAAGAATGCTGACCCCCAACATCTGAAACAGCTGGTGCTCCCTCTGAAAACTGCTGGAAGCTCTTCCACTCAGTCCTTCATTTTGATTTCCTCTTCCATCAAACTTTTCCTTACGACTTGAGTATTTCTCTGCTCATGGTGTTTTCAGTCTTTGTTGGTGATGTCAAACTCCCAGATTTGAAAGCCAATTGTGACTGAATTTCCACGAGTGTTAAAAGTCGTAGATTACTCTGGGTCTAGGGGTCAAGAAAACCCGAGCTCCCGCCTTCCTGTGCTCACACTCGTGGCAGCGCTAACCGGGGCTTTCCCTCGTGATCCTCACCCAGGACCCTGGGAGGGCAGGGGCACGAGCCCTTCCTGGGTATCCTTGAGCCGTTTCAGTCGTGCTTGGTTTTCTTGGCAGATACTGGAGCGGTCTGCCATTTCCTTCTCCAGCTCATTTTACAGATGAGAAAACTGAGAGTGAAGTGACTCGCCCAGGGTGACACGGCTAGGAAAAGTCAGGCCAGACTTGACCTCACTAAGATGAGTCTTCCCGACCCCTGGCCCTTTGCTTGGTGCAGCTGCTTCGCCTCCTGGGGAGGAAACTGAGGCTCGGAGAGGTTCGGGGCAGCCCCCGGAGTAAGAGGAAGCCTGGAACGCGGGTCTCCCGCCTCCGAGCCTGGTTGCCTCTCCCTGTCCTCCTCCAGGGTGCCGGTCGCCAGGAGCGAACCCGACCCTGCCCGGGCCCCTCCCCGAGGGAATGGGGGTGAACTTGGTAAACGCACGAGGCCGGGGAGAGGAGGGGGCGCCGAGCTCCCGAGGGCAGGCCGGAACCTCGCTCTCGCTGCACTCGGTCCCCGGGAGGGGGACCCCGCGGACCACGGCCGGCGTCCACGTGGGGCAGAGGCGAGGAAGCGCGGGGCCGCGGGGAGGGAGCGCTCCGATCCCGGAAGTGCGCGCGCCCGCGGCAGGCGGGGAGAGGGTCGGGAGGCAAGTGCGCGCGCTCGCGCGCGGGCGGTGGGCGCCCGGCGACTCCTCCCTCTCCCTCCGGCCGCCCCTCCTCCCCAGCGTTCTCGCGTCGCCCTGACAACCAGAGGCCCCGCCGCCGGGACAGCTGCGAGCCGTCGGGGGCGTGGCTCCGAGCGCGGCCCCGCCCCGGCTGCAGCGCTGGCCAATCGGCGTGGCGCGTCCTCTTCCCGGCTCGCGCCCCGCGGGTCCCGCTGATCCCGCCCGCGCTCCGTCAGTCCGTCAGTCAGTCAGTCCGTCCGCCTGCCTGCCAGCTCGCTCGCTCGCAGCCCGGCGGGCGGCCAGTTCGCCGCTCGCTCGGAGGGAGAGGGGGCGCGCTGGCCGCGGCGCCGCCCGAGGGAGGCTCGCCGCGCCCGTCCCGGCGGCGTCCGTCCGAGGCGGGCGAGGACTATGAGAAGATGGTCGTGCAGGCGCGGAGCAAGCACCGAGAGGCGGCGGCCGCTCCCCCCCGCGCCTCCCCGCAGCCGCGCCGGGCCGTGGGCGCCGGCGAGCCCGAGCTCGAGCTGCCCGGCGGCCGCGTGCTCCCGGCGGCGCCCCCCAGCGGCGGGCGGCGGCCCGGCAGGAGGGGGCAGCGGCCCGAGCCCGCGCACCCCTCACGCAGCCTCCTGTCCCGCCTGTCGGCGGGGCTCCGCGCGCGGCTGGGCCAGCGCCCGGCGGGGGGCCGGGGCCGGACGTGGACCACGCTGCTGCTCGGTGAGCGGGCCGGGTGGGGGCGGGGCTGGGGGCGGGGCCGGGCGGGGCGCGCCAAGTTGGGAGCCGGCCCCGGCGTGACCCCCGCCTCCCCGGCGTGCCTGGGCCCCGCGGCGCCGACTAATTGTACTTAGACCGGGCGGGGCGGGTACCGCGGGGCTCCTTCCTGGCCGGGAACGATGTTGACCCTCCTCTTTCTGTTTCCCTTCTTCTCTCCCCGTGGCCCCCAGGATCCCCCCAAAGCTGGCCCCGGAGGTCCCGGCCGCCGGGTCCGAGACCGCCCCGGGCGGCTCTGCTTTCCCCAGAGCGCGGGTTCAGTTCTACAGGGCGGGGGGAGGGGCGGAGGAACTTGGGGTTTCGTCTGCGTAGCGGGATCCGGGGCTGGGGGGCACTTCGGAGGCGGTGCGTTCTCCCCCCACCCCCTCCCCATCTAATAGAGCTTGTCAGGGTCGGGGGCTCTCCCGCCGTGCCCATTCTCCCCCCGAGTGCGGGTCAACGGCTCGTAACTGCGCAGGACAGTCGGCTTAGAGCTGATTTCAGAGTTGGTCCGAGTGGGGGATCCCGATGTGCAAACGCTCTCCACGAATGCCCGTCCGCAGCTCCTGTGTAACTTCTTGAAATTAGGCAGCTGGAGACTGTGGGGACCGCCGAGGTCACGTAAACCAACGCTTTCGTTTTATAGTGGGCGCTTAATAAACGATTCGATGACTGAGGAAACTGAGGCTTTGCAGCTGAATTGATTTGCCCTAGGGTGTCAGAGGTGGGATTTGAACCCAGGTCCTTCTCCAGAGCCAGCGCTCTTTCCTTTGTGCTTTTTCGGGGGCACTGAGAGACTTCTCTCGTTCAGCCGTCTTCACTTCCTCCTTTACTGAGGAAACCGAGGTTCCTGAACTCTCTGCTCTCCTCTGCCAGCCCCGCAGCGCTAGCTACTTCTCTCCACGCCGTCTCCTCTCCGAGTCTTCCCCGACTACTGCCCCGCACCCCAGGAGGATGGTGCTCCCTCCTGACCTTTCTTTCGGGGTGCAGCTCCGAGAAAGCCTCTCCTGGTCCCTTCCTCGCCTCCCCCCGCCCCTTCCAGGCTAGCACCGTCCAGCCCTTATTGCTGCTTTGTAGTTTATACTGTATTTGTTCTGTGGATACTTACTTACACGTGTTCATATTGTCGCCCCTGACACAATGTAAGCGCCAGGAGAAAAGAAATTGTTTCTTTCTTGGTTCTTGTTTTTGTATCCTCCTAGCCCTCCCTGAGTTCATAAATGCTTGAGCCTCCCAGCCAGTCTGATTTAAAAGAGTCTCGATGTCAGCTTGCCTGCCTATGTCTATGCGGAAGCTGAGGATTTAGAGTGGGGGGATCATTTTAGTCCTATTTCTGTTTTTTTTACAAGTGAGGAAACTGTGGCCTAGCGACTTGCCCAAGGCCACACTAGTAGCAAGCTTCAGTGTTTACATTCAAATCCAGGTCTTGGGACTCTCGAGCAGTACTTGCTACAGTTCCTGTTTCTCTTAAAACATGGGAATAGTCCAAAGAAACCACAGAATGTCAGTACAGAAAGTGAGTAAGCTTTTAAATGATTTAGTGGTTGGTTTTAAACAAACAAAAAACCCTACTTTTAATGCTCCATAAGTAGTTTTTCTTCATTGTTAAAATATTTTGTCCAATTGTCCAACTTTTAGGGGGGAAGCCTAACTAAATCAAGATGGAATTTTTATTCAGGTGGTAAAACAGCAAAATTTTCAAAGTTAAATGATAAATTGATAGTGATTTCCTTTACCAGCCTAATACTGTCTTTTTTGGATAGTGCTGCTAATTCAACTGTCTTTCCTCCCAAAGACCATTTAGGCACTAAAGGATTGGAGTCAGAGATGAAGTCAGGGCTATGGGACACAACAAAGTGCCCCTCAGAGAGGCAGAGTTGTAGATTGAGAAGGAACTTCCTCAGAGGTTCAGTCCCCTCAAGATAAGATCTATCACTTTAGTCTCATTAGGGATTAATCAGCCACAAACATTTCTGGAGGTGCAGTGGGGAAAGAAACCCACTTCAAGTTGTCCCATAAGGTGTTTTTTTTTTTTAAACTAGAGAAAATTTTATTTAATTACACTTCTACCCCCCCATTAGGAAAACTTCAAAGAAACTTGGAATGTGAGAAACTATAACTGAATGGTTAACTCCCTGTGCTTCTTAGGTAAATTTATTTTAGCCAATTAAAGTAAATATATAATATTAATTTGAAAACTGATGACAGGATGAATTCCTATATTTAAGAGGCCGTTCTGCAGACACAAAGAACTTCTGTACCTGTGCTGTTTCACTCACTTTATCATTAAAGGCAGCAATCTACTTCATTCAAGGAGTCATACCTTGATGTAAATTGTAGAAAATTATATCATATTTTGCTGAAAAATATGTTTCTTCTCTTCCTGCATATTTTGTGTGAGTCTTCCCTTTTTGAAGGATAGGTCAGATCACTGAATCTGAGATGCGGGGGGCATCCTGGAGCCCACTTAGTCCAGCCTGTCTGGACAAGTAAGTGGTCATCCAGCCTTTACTGGAAGACCCCTAGGGAGAGAGAGGATGCCATGCATTTTACTTCTAGACTGTTCTGTTTCTTTAAAAGTCTCTTTGTGGCTTCTGCCCATTTATTCGAGCTGTGTCTTCTAGGACCAAGCAGAACAGAATTCTCTGTACAACAGTACTTCTGATACTCAGACAACTACCATATTCTCCTTAAATCTTCTCTTCACAGACACTTGTTTAGCATTGCCTTCCTCATCTTTTGCTTGTGAAGTTGGATTATTGAACCCAGTCATAGGATTATACATTTTTTCCCTATTTCATTTTAGTAGATTCAGCCTATTATTTTAACCTCTGGAGATCCTTTCAATCCATAAATCAGCTCTGGAGCTTTACTTATGCCCGTACTATGTGCCAGGTACTGTGCTAAGTGCTGAGAGTACACTTTTAGTAGGAAGAAAGACCAGCCCTGCTGCCAAGCGGCATATATGGTAACGAGGGAAGACTACGTATAAAAGGAACCTGAAAAAAAGGAGGGGAGAGGAGACAAAAGTTCTGGGGCTTGGTGAAGGCCAGCTGGAATGCAGCACATGTTCTCCACATCAAGGGGAGGAAGGAGAGCTGGCAGGCTGGGCACCCTCCTCTCTGAGGGACAGGCCCTGTGGAAAGACCGTGCTTCTAACGTGCTGATTCCAAGGCTGGAGTGAGCTAGAGTATATGAAGCCAGGAGAGAACTTTGTAGTCATGACTGCCACTCAGGACGTCATCAATCCCTCCTACCTTCCTGTTCTTGGCAGATTTGATAAGAAGGCCCGCTGTGTCTTTATTTAGTCCAGATCACTGATAAATATGTGGAAAAGTACAGAGTCCCCACAAATTCCTGGAGCTGACCACTGGAGACATTCCAAGTGGACATTGACCCATTGAAGACTCTTCTGGGTATCGGAGTCAACCATCCCACCAGTTCTGAATCTCCTGACTGGGCTCTCATCTAGCTCTTCATACACAAGATTTTCCTGAGAGATCTTTGCTGAAGCTTCATATTCTGTGCCCTCAACATCCTCCTGATCTACTCGTTAGTGTGTCAGAAAGAAATGAGCTTAGTCTGGCATGACTGATTCTTCTTCTTCTTCTTTTTTTAATGTTATTTTCCCCCCAATTGTATGTTAAAACAATTTTTAACTTTTTTTTAAAGTTCTGAGTTCCAAATTCTATCCCTCCTTCATTTTCCTCCCTGTTTCCTGAGATGGTAAACAGTCTGATTCAGGTTTTACATGTGCAATCATGTCAAACATTTCCATGCTAGTCATTTTGTATAGGAAAACTTGAACAACAAGAACAAAAAGAATAAAAGAAAGAAAGAAAGTGAAAAATAGCTGCAGTCTGTATTCAGACAATATCAGTTCTTTCTCTAGAGGTGGATAGTATGCTTCATCATCAGTCTTTTGGGATTGTCTTGGATCATTGTAATGCTGAGAAGAGCTAAGTCATTCTCCTGGTTCTGTTCACTTCACTTGGCTTCAGTTCATGTAAGTCTTTTCAGGTTTTTCTGAAATCATCCAGCATGTCATTTTTTTTTTTTAGGCAATTAGGGTTAAGTGACTTGCCCAGGGTCACACAGCTAGTAAGTGTGTGAAGCCAGATTTGAACTCAGGTCCTCCTGACTCCAGGGCTGGTACTCTACCCACTGTACCACCTAGCTGCCCCCATGTCATTTCTTATAGCACAATAATATTCCATCACAATCTTATATCACAGCTTGCTTAGCCATTCCCCAACTGATGGGTATCTTCTTGATTTCCAGCTCTTAGCCACCACAAAAAGAGCTGCTATAAATATTTTTGTACAAGTAGGTCCTTTTCCCTTTAGTTTTTTGATCTCTTTGGAGTGTAGACTTAGTAGTGGTATTGCTGGATCAAAGAGCATGCATGGTTTATTTTAGCCTGTTGGACATAGTTCCAAATTGCTCTCCAGGATGGTTGGATCAGTATGCAACTCCAGCAACAGTGCATTCGTGTGGCATGACTTATTCTTAATGAGCCTCTGCTGGCTCTTGGTGGTCCTGGCTTCCTTTTTCAGATGTTCATAAACAATCTCTTTACTAATTTATTCTGAGATTGTACGAGGAGTAAGAGGCAGATACCTGGGTCTGTAGTTTGCCTGTTCAACTCTTAGCCTTTTTTGGAGAAGAAGGGCATTTCCCCATCTCCAGTCCCACAGTCCTTCAGAGGTCATTGCCAATGGCCGGCAGTCACCCTGCTAGCTCTTTCTGGGTACTTGGCGATGTTGTTGACTGTTTATAAATAACGCTGAAGTGACCTAACGACGTACATTCTCCCTGAATATCTGCAGTTGCGTGTTATACACTTGACAACCTACTGCCTTTGGGCCCTGGCAGAGTCACTTCTCCTGCTGGGCCCCAGTCTTCAGTAGAAGGAGGTAGCTTCCCAGGAGTTAGATATGCCAACAAAATCACTGGTTTAGCCCAGG